AAAAAAAAAAAAAAAAAGTTTAAGGTAAGAAATATTTTCAAGATTCCTGCAGGAAAAGCTACACCATTCCAATTTTGTTAGTGTTTGAATTGTTAGGTGTCATAATTGCTGAAGTGTCTATCTTCTCCATTAGATGAAGCCAGAGAGTATGTCTTGTTTGTATCTGTATTTCCAGAATCACAGCACAATGGCTGACTTCAGTGCACAATTGATAAGTACTTATTAAACTGATCTGATTAAATGATTATAGACAGAATAGCATTTGTAAAACAAACTAAAAAGATCTGCTGCATTCTTTATTTTGCTTTTTAAAAAAAATTATGGCTAAGGGGGCGGTGCCTGTGGCTCTGTGGGTAGGGTGCTGGCCCCATATACCAAGGGTGGCAGGTTCAAACCCAGTCCCAGCCAAACTGCAACAAAAAATAGCCAGGCATTGTGGTAGGCGCCTGTGGTCCCAGCTACTTGGAAGGCTGAGGCAAGAGAATTGCCTAAGCCCAGGAGTTGGAGGTTGCTGTGAGCTGTGACACCACAGCACTCTACCAAGGGTGATAAAGCAAGACTCTGTCTCTAAAAAAAAAAAAAAAAAAAATTATAGTTAAAAAAATCACACGTCATGAAATTGACCATCCTAACCATTTTTCAGTATATAGTTCAGTAGTGTTAAGTATATTATATTTATGTTGTTGTAAAACAAATCTCCAGGACTTTTCAATATCACAGAACGGAAACTCACTCACTTTAAACAACTTCTTTTCTCATTCTCCCTTCAGCTCCTAGCAACCACTTTCTAGTTTAAAGAATTTGACTATTTTAGATACCTGATACTAGTGCAATTACCTAGTATTTGTCCTTTGTGACTGGCTTATTTCAGGTAGCATGATACTCTCGAAGGCATCCACGTTGTAACATGTTACAGGATCACCTTCCATCTTAAGGCTGCATAGCATCCCATTGTATGTCTGCCTTGTGTTTACTATTCAGGCACCAGTGGACATTTGTGTAGCTCCACCTCATGGTTATTGTGAATAGTGCTGTTCTTATATATGGGTATGCAAATCTCTGCAAGACTCTGCTTTCAGTTCTTTTGAGTATATACCAGAATTGCTGGATCACATGGTCATTCTATTTTTAATTTTTGAAGAACTACCATATTTTTTAATAGTTTCACCATTTTAAAATTCCACCAACAGTACACAAGAGTGCAGCTACTTCATATCCCCACAAATACTTTCTATTTTCTTTTTTTTTATAGTAGCCATCTTAATAGGTATAAGATTATATTTCTTCTGCATTTCTCTGGTGATTGGTGAGGTTGAGCATCTTTTCATATGCTTGTTGGCCATTTAGGTATGTATATATCAGTTTTGGATGGATGTCTGTTCAAATCTTTTGCCCATTTTTGTAGTTGAGTTTTAGAAGTTCTTTATATATTCTGGGTATTAGTCCCTTGTCAGCTATATGACTTGCAAATATTTTGCCCCATTCTGTAGTTTACCTTTTACTCTGTTGATTGTGTTCATTGCAAAAATAAAAGTTTTCACACTAGATTCAGTTTTTTCTATTTTTTCTTTTGTTGCCTATGCTTTTAGAGTTATATCCAAAAAGTCATTGCCAAATCGAATGTCCTGAAGTTTTTCCTGTGAGTGTTCCTCTAGGATTTTTATAGTTTGGGGTTTTATTTTACTTTTATTTATTATTATTATTATTATTACTTTTAATAATGCCTCAGGCAATTAGAAAATGTAAAACTCTTGAATCATAGAGCACAGGTCAAGACCATACTTGGGTTTTAAAATATAGATTGCATTTTCATTTAACATTCTAAGCTTCCCCAGGGGTCTGACTGCTCCTTAAGGGTGGGTGGGGAGCTGTCCTATTTGGAGGTGCTGAAATTCTCCCTTATAAATTTTGAGCTTCCAGCAGGGCTCTGGATCTCCTTTTCCTGTTAGGAAACTCTGGTAAACAGGGATTCTTCTGGGCCTAATGAATTTTTATCCCTACTTTTTAATCAGTAAATCAGAGTTTCACCTCACCCCCAGCATATCTAGTCTGTGGATTCCAAAATAAGTAGTATATGACTATAATGGCAGCTGGAGGTTCTGACAGTCAATTAAAACTCTTACTTAAATTATTAACAATAAAATGTTTCATTTCTCTTATATATGAACCATTGGAATGGAAAATGAAAATTTTGGTTACATGGTATCAATCATGTGGACATTTATTAAAAGTCTCTATGTCTGTATTTGTGTGCATATGGGTAGAAAAATTAGGCAATTGATTAACTGTTTAACTTTTAGCTTTTTGGCATTGTATGATACAGAATTGAATAATTTTACAGCCTTGACAACTGCCTATTTTATTGGCAATGAGATTTTGAGTTATCAAACAAGTCTTTATTACCTGTTTCAAATACATTGAATTAATATAAATGTAAAAAAGAAAACTAAGGGAAAGTACAATTAAATTATGCCCAATTCTTCTTTCAATTAAATTGCAAATGTTCTTCAACTCTACTCCCTACTTTAGAATTTTCAATTCCACTCAACTTTCTACTGTAAACATTTCAGTCCCCAAATGCTACAACAAGGCAATACTCAAAAGTATTCAGGGATTAGATGGACAGAATAAGATATTTGTTTGTATAAGTATAGCAACTGTCTCCTATTCTTTCTGGGCTCAGAATACGTTTTCTCTTGGAATCTACTTCAAACAGGTTGTACTATTTCACGTCCCAGCCCTTTAATCTATAAATTTAACTTTCAACTGCATTTAGTGTCTTGTGGGATTTATCATAAAAGAATTTCACTGGCAAATTCAAGACAGTTGAATGATTGAATAGAAAGTAAGGAATAAAGACTAAAGATATTTGAAGGTCCCCGTCTCTCACTTCTCCTCCTTGACCTAATATTCAGATAGGCGATTATCTAACAGACAACTGCAATTTCATTTGAAAAACTTGGCCAAAATTATGACTATTTTACTTTATTAAAGAAGTAGATACTTGGAAGCCATTTAAACAATTAATAGAGCCTTTTAACATTTTTATTCCAGATGTTTGTCTTTATGTGAAAAATTGAGACAATAAAATCAGTTGACAATAATTGGTAAACTCATGGCACTGATGCAAAATAATTACCACCTTTTAAAAAGGACTCTAAAAAATCATTTATTTGATGATTGTGAACTTGTAGCACTTCTATATAGGCAATGCATTTCATTTCATGGTCTTTGTTACATTTATTTTGTCTTTTCATTTAAAACTTCAGTGATTTTTTTTTTTTTAGAAAAAAATTGCGATACGATTAAACCCCATAGAAAATAGGAATTAAAACATGGAAAAATAAATACATATAGTGAGCATCTACCATGAAATTTCACTGTTAATTAGGCACTAAGTTAACTCTAAAACTAACGAGGAGCCAAATAACGATGGAAATACAAGGATTTGTAAAGCTTCCTTTATTTGTTCAAAAGAAACCCCATAATTTATCTAAGAAATAGCTTGTTCCTGGTGGTAAATTCTAAGGCTAATTTATTACATAAATCTCATATCTGAGACTTATGCAAAGTAATAGCCTATATTTTGTAAAGAATGTAAAAACATTCATTGTATGATAGTATTACATATGACACTAAATAAAAAGCAAAATATTAAAATATTATAACTCAGTGAAATAATGCCTCTAAGTAGTTTTGCTCGTTGGAGCTGTTAGTATATTTTTTGTCTTCCTGAACATAGGAAAGTCCAGAGTCTGTGAAGTTTACAGTCTTTGTTAGGCTGTTTTGGGCAGAACGTCAGCTGGAACCTAACAACTTTTACTAACTTGAGAAAGTGGCAGAAGATTAACATAAATGCCAATGTATAATTTATCTCTTTTCTTTCTCTAGTACTTTGGAAGTGTTGCTGAAATCATCAGGAACCACCAACACAGTCCCCTGGTTCTTATTGACAGTCAGAATAACACAAAAGATTCCACAAGACTGAAATACGCAGTTAAAGTTTCATAAAGAAAAAAAAAAAGAGGTCAAGTTTCTCCTCTTGAGAAAAAGCCCCCAGACTTCATCTTTTGGATTAGGAATTCTCCAGTCGTCATAGAAAGGTGGAGGCAGCTCCCGAGGTGTTTGTCCAATGGACTTCTGCTTCCTACTGCCTGATCTGATGAACTGTTAGTATCTGGTGAGGTTGAGTTATCATCCTACTAATATTCTCCAAATAAATGTCTTTATTTAAAAGAAACAGGTGTAAAGTATTTTTAGTCATTTAAGAAAAAAACCACTTCTTTTCAAAATAACAACAACAAAAAAATACTCTTGCATAAAAAAAAAAAAGCTGCTGAAAATTTAACCCCTACCCCCAATGATCACTAGTCCACTAATGTAGCTGGGTTCTCCACTGCTAATGCTTGATGATTAAATCTTGGTTGGAATTTTAATGCATAGAAAATAAAATATTACAGGTAATGCATGATATGTGGTATTTATGAGTTCCAACAAAAAGGATGTAATGGTTCCTTTTTGGAGTCCTTATAACCATGGGAGATGTATGTGAGTTTGAACTTTTCAGAAGTTCTTGTCTAGAATTATGTTAGCTTTGCTCACTGAAAAAAGTGAGGGCCAGGCACAGTGGCTCACACCTATAATCCCAGCACTTTGGGAGGCTGAGGTAGGTAGATTGCTTGAGGCCAGGTGTTCAAGACATAGCAAAACTCATCTCTACAAACAATTTAAAACTTAGCTGAGTGTGGTGACACACACCTATGTTCAAGAGGCTGAGGTAGGAGGAGTGCTTGAGCCCAGGAGTTAGAGATTGCAGGGGGCTAAGAATGTGCTATTACACTCCAGCCTAGGTGACAGAGTGTGACCCTATCTCTAAAAAATACCAAAAAATAAAATGATAATTATATCCTTTTGTTTTGCATGTCTACCACATGCAACCTAAACTTAACAGGAAGTTCAAAGTTCACAGAACAAGGGCAAAAATGCAGACCCTGATGCACACACTAAGGAGTAAAAGAGACACCATTGTGTGAGCCATGTCTGTGGTCTTAAATCATCCCAGAGATACATCATACTTTGTTGTTTGTGGCCATCAAAAGCCTGAATTGTACAATAATGAGTTAACTAGGGCAATGGTTTAGGGACCCTGCCCTCTGGAAGTTAAACTACTCTTACTGGGGCTGGACTTGCCTAAAAGGAAATCCCAGAGAACAGAATGCAGTCGTGTGAAACAAAGCCAGCACCACCTGAGACATGATCTTAAAACAAGACTGAATTTCTGCCCTTAAGAAGCCATATAACTCAGCTTCAATTTCTATTACAGGTAGCATTGCGTGGGACCCACTAAAACACCTGCCTCCCAGGAGTGCTCTTGGCACATCGTGGCTGTGTTTAACCACAAGGTGGAGGGAGTGCCGGCGTCAGAGCTGGATTAGGTCTGGGTTAGATCTACCATTTATCAGTAGGTTATTGTGCATGTTTCTTACCACTCTAAGACTCAGTTTCCACATTTGTAAAACAATATTATTTCCAGTAATGATACAAGGGTTAACACTGAGTCAGATGGATTAGGCACCTGGAACTTAGCTGTGACTAATAAACATTAATTCCTAGTCTCCTTAACCAAAATCTAGCTTATAGAGAGAAAAAGTAATTCTTTTTTCAATGGATAACTCTTAAAATAAAGTCACTTATAAGTATTTTGGACCATTTAATAACTAACTGTGTCTCAGGAAAATCCCAACTATTTCTTTCACATTCGTGGTTTAAAAAATTTTTTGTTTTAGTTTATAGAAGTACATAATTTCAGGATACGTGTGATAATTTAATACATTCATATAATTTGTGAAGGTAAAATCAGTGTACCTGGGATATCCCTCACCTAAAATATTTGATTTTTCTTTAAGCTAGAACCACTCAAATTCTTTACCTATAGCAATTTTGAAATATACAATATATTATACAATATACAATAGATTATTATACGTGGTATAATCTATAGCCACCCTGCTGATGTATCTAATACTAGGCCTTATTTCTTCTATCAAACCATATATTTGTGCCAATTAATCAACTTCTTTTTATTCCCCACTCCCCCTACCTTTCCTGGCCTCTGGTAGCCACCAATCTAATCTCCGTCTTCATGAAATCTGCTTTTTTAGCTCCCACATGTAAGTGAGAAAATGTAATATTTCTCTTTTTAAGGTAGGCTTATTTCTCTTAACATAATGACCTCCAGCTCCATCCATGTTGCTGCAAAGGACAGGATTTCATTCTTTTTTATGGCTAAACAATATTCCTGTGTGTGTGTGTGTGCATGTGTGTGCACATACCACATTTTCTTCATCCATTCTTCCATTCCTGGGCCCTTAGGTTGCTTCCAAATCTTGGCTATTGTGAATAGCATTGCGATAAATGTGGGAGTGCAGATGTTTTTCCAGTATATTGATTTCCTTTCTTTTGGATATATGCCCAATAGTAGAATTGCTGGATTATATGATAGTTCCATTTTTAATTTTTTTTTTTTTTTTTAGAGACAGAGTCTCACTTTATCACCCTTGGTAGAGTGCTGAGGCGTCACAGCTCACAGCAACCTCCAACTCCTGGGCTTAGGTGATTCTCTTGCCTCAGCCTCTGAGTAGCTGGGACTACAGGTACCCATCACAACACTGGGCTATTTTTTGTTGCAGTTTGGCTGGGGCTGGGTTTGAACCTGTCACCCTCAGTATGTGGGGCCGGTGCCCTATCTGCTGAGCCACAGGTGCCACCCCCATTTTTAATTTTTTAAGGAGCCTCTATACTGCTCTTTATAGTCACTGTACTAACTTACATTCCCACCAACAGTATACAAGAGTTACCATTTCTCCACATCCTCACCAGCATTTACTATTGCCTGTCTTTTTGATAAAAGACATTTTAACTAGAATGAGATATCTCATTGTATTTCTAATTTTACCAGTGGGTTTTATGCCTTCAGTTTTATTCTCCCACAATAGAGCTTTTTCTTTCAGATTGAAGAACTCCCTTTAGCATTGCTTATAAGACAAGTCTATTGGTGGTGAATTAAGATACTTTTGTTTGTCTGGGGCATTGCCTGTGGCTCAAAGGAGTAAGGTGCTGGCCCCATATACCAGAGGTGGTGGGTTCAAACCCAGCCCCGGCCAAAAACTGCAAAAAAAGAAAAAAAAAAGAAACTTTTGTTTGTCTGAAAAATACTTTATCTCTTCATCATATCTGAAGGATAACTTTGCTGGATAAAATATCTTTGCATGACAGCTTTTTCTTTCAGGACTTTGAAAATGTCATTCCATTCTTTCATAGCTTGTATGGTTTCTGTTGAGAAATTTGTCACTAGATGAATTAAAGTTCCTTTATGTGTTATTTGCTACTTTTTCTTGCTCCTCTTAAGATTCTTTCTTTGTACTTGACCTTTGAGAGTTTATTATCTGCCTTAGGCAAGTCTTATCTGAGTCAATTCTTTTATTTTCTAGCCATCTTGAAAATATTTATATCCCACCCACATTTTGACTATTAGTTGTCCTGATTTACAGGTTGCTGTAGCTATTATTATTTTAACAGGCTTGTCTTTTGTGCTTCATAATAGAATTACAAGTGTAGTCCCAGTTACTTGGGATGCTGAGGCAAAGGGATCACTTGAGCCCAAGAGTTTGAAGTTGCTGTGAGCTATGAAGCCATATCACTCTACAGAGGAAGACAAAGTGAAACTCTGTCTCCAAAAAACCCCCCAAATACCTCACACAAAATTTCATGGGATTCCTGGGCTACTGGGGCCTATCTATGGACCAAGAGTCCAAGCCCTACATACCTGCTGTGGTGGGTGCCTGTAGTCCCAGCTACTTGGGAGGCTGAGGCAAGAGAATTGTTTAAGCCCAAGAGTTGGAGGTTGCTGCAAGCTGTGACACCATAGCACTCTACCAAGGGTAACATAGTGAGACTCTGTCTCAAAAAAAAAAAAAAAAAAAAAAACCCTGAATGACCCTAAAAGAACTCTATTATGAGAAACTGCTCAGTTCTATAGTTTAGTGCAGGGGTTCTCAAACTTTTTAAACAGGGGGCCAGATCATTTTCTGTCAGACCGTTGGAGGGCTAGACTGCAGGCTGGGATGAGTCAGCTGCTAAGCAGGACAGGCAGGCGGTGCAAAAACACCTGGCGGGCCGGGTAAGTGTCCTAGGCAGGCTGCATGTGGCCCGTGGGCCATAGTTTGAGGATGCCTGGTCTAGTGCAAGGCTTTGGAGATGTCTCAGTTCTTTTCTTTGGCGGCAGAGTGTCACTGTGTTGCCCTGGGTAAAGTGCCATGGCATCATAGCTCACAGCAAACTCAAACTCTTGGGCTCGAGTAATATTCTTGCTTCAGCCTCTTGAGAAGCTGGGACTATGAGAGCACGCCACTGTGCCCGGCTAGTTTTTCTATTTTTAGTAGAGACAGAGGTCTCACTCTTGCTCAGGCTGGTCTCAAACTCCTGAGCTCAGCTGATCCACCTGCCTCAGCCTCCCAGAGTGCTAGGATTATAGGCATGAGACACCGCACCTGGCTCACATTGTCTAATCCTAGCTTTACCAGTAACAGATAGTGTGAACTTGGCAAATTATTTGTCTTGGTTGCTTCTTTTGCAAAATGCAGATAATAATACAACCTACCATAGGGGGCTATGAGAGTATTAAAAACTATACAAGAACAAAATTGATGATTAGTATTCTTTCATTCAACCAGCTAACATTTATTGAGCTTGACATATGTCTGTCAGTATGAAAGTCAGGCACATGAAATATGGAGATAATTAACCTTAATCCTTGAAAGTATCCAAATAGCCCCTCAAATATCTTTTCGAGTGAGAGTTATCATTTTATAAAAATATCAAACAAGACTCTTATCCAGAAATAATGGTCTGTAATTAAAAAATAATCTGCAAAGAAAAAACATGTAATTCAAAGTATCTACTAATAAGCACTCAACTGTCATCTCATTGCATTTGTCTCCCCATACAAATCTTTACAAATGGAAAAAAAAATTTTTTTTAAGGCTCAGCGCCTGTGGCTCAAGTGGCTAAGGTGCCAGCCACATACACCTAAGGTGGCGGGCGGGTTTGAATCCAGTCTGGGCCCGCCAAACAACAATGACAGCTGCAAGTAAAAAACTAACTGGGCGTTGTGGTTGGTGCCTGTGGTTCCAGCTACTCAGGAGGCTGAGGCAGGAGACTTGCTTAAGCCCAGGAGTTGGAGGTTGCTGTGAGCTGTGATGCCACAGCACTCTACCCAGGGGGACGGCTTGAGGCTCTGTCTCAAAAAAAAGAAAAAATGTTAAGTTTTACTCATCATCTGTTTTCTGATTGATTTCTATAAATCTCTATTATTTCCTTCCTTCCACTTATTTTGGATTTAATTTGCTCTTCTTTATATACTTTATATTAAAAGCTTATGTAATGCACTTTATATATAATTGAACTTTTATTGTTTTCTAACATAAATATTTGAAGCTGAAAATGTCTCTCCAAGCACAAATGTAGTGACATCCAACAAATTTTGACAGTTTTCTCATTTTCACTCAGTTTAAAATATTTCTAAATTTCCATTGTGATTTCTTCCTTGACTCATTGGTTAACCAGAAAAGTGCTAGTTAATTTTCCAATATTTGGGAATTTTCCAAATGTTTTTCTGAGGTTGACCTCTAATTAAATTGTAGGAGGGACAGAACATATTCTGCATGAATTCAATCCTTTTAAATGTATTTGGGTGGAGTGTTTTGTAAAAATAATTTAGTTCAAGTTAACTGATAGTCTTGCTCGAGTCTTCTGTCTCATTACTGATTTCCTTTTTCCTAGTTGTTCTGTCAATTACTAACAGATTTATCAATTTCTCTCTGTATTTTAATTTCTCTTCTGTCATTTTAACTTCATGTATTTTGAAGCTTTGCTATTACACGCATAGACCTTTAGAATTGCTACATGATCTTAGTGAATAGATCTCTTTATCATCTAGATATTTCCCTTAATCCCTAGAGTTATTTTTCATTCTGTTTATAATTTTCATCAAATTTAGAAAAATAACTTCCTTAATCATTTCTACAAATATTTTATTCCTCCTTCTTTTCCTCCACTCTGTGAGTCTAATTACACAACGTCGCACTTCTTGATATTGCCCTTCACTCTGCCAGCCAGTAAAGTGCAATGCTTAAATCTCCCTTCAAGGAAAAATTCATACACCTGTAATCCTAGCACTCTGGGAGGCTGAGGTGGGTGGATTGCCTGAGCTCTTGAGTTCGAGACCAGCCTGAGCCAGAGTAAAACCTTGTCTTTAAACTGGGAGTTGTGGTGGATGCCTGTAGTCTCAGCTACTTGAGAGGCTGAGGAAAGAGGATCTCTTGACCCCAAGAGTTAGAAGTTGCTGTGAGCTTGA